TATTGCTAAGAATTTGATTGAATTGACTTATGCGGCGTCAGTAGCCGATTTGGCGTCATTGGAAAAGTTGCTTTGTTTTATGTACGAAGAAAAGTTAATAAATCAGGAAGTAATCAACGTTCTTTGGCAGATATATAGCTTTGCTGATCAAAATTCACCACAAAGTGGTAATCCTAAATTTACGAAAAAACAATGCCGTGGATCCATCATTATCTTAGGTATGTTAGCATTGGCAGATCATGAAATCGTGCTCAGAGGCTTAGATGCTTTATTAAACGTTGGCTTAGGAGATAAAGGAAGGAGTGACTTAGTTTTATCGAGATATTCTTGTATTGCATTGCAAAGAATTGTTCCACATGTATCGAAAAACAAGGGAATCGTGTCTTTCAAAATTGCAAGAGAAGATGAAGCCATTGAAAAGTTGAAAGAAGTACTTCTATCATACAGTGATGATCCAGAATGGTATAGTGTCGCTGAACAAGCAATCGGTGCTGTCTACCAGGCATCAAGCAAACCAGATGAGGTTTGTTCGAGCATGATTAAAGAGAAATGCATTATGGTCTTTGGTGAAAAAACTGCAAATGAATCAAAGGTTATTGCATTATCTCAACTTCTCTTCATAGTGGGACATGTCGCAATAAAAACTATTGTACATTTAGAAAAGTTAGAGACCCAATTTAAAAAGAAAAAACATGAGGCTGAAAGTTCAAAGAATAAGGAATCAGATAATAATGATAATGAAAATAATGATAATGAATTGGAAATGATCGGTGGCACTTCAGAAGATGATTTCACTGATGCTGTGGTTTATATCAAAGAAAGAGAACTTTTATATGGTGAAGGAGCATTACTTGCTAAATTCGGGCCATTAGTTCGTGAAATTTGTTCGAATAATAAAAGGTATGATAACGAGTCATTACAGAGATCAGCAGTCCTATGCATGGCCAAACTTATGTGTATATCTTCCAAATATTGTGAGGATAACTTGCCATTATTAATTACAATCATGGAAAAATCACCAGATCCAATTATCAGATGTAATTGCGTCTTAGGCTTAGGTGATATGGCAGTGTGCTTCAATAACTTAGTCGATGAAAATACTGATTTCTTATACCGCCGTCTTACTGATAGTAATATAATGGTACAGAGAACGTGTCTTATGACTGTCACCTTCTTAATTCTAGCAGGACAAGTTAAAGTTAAGGGACAACTATCCTCTATGGCTAAATGTCTAGAAAATCCTGATCAAGGTATCAGCGACATGTGCCGTCTTTTCTTCACAGAATTGGCAACTAAAGATAACGCCATCTACAATGGATTCATCGATATTTTTAGTGGCTTATCGAACGACGACAGCCTTTCTAAAGATGCTATGAAGCGTATTGTTAAGTTCTTGGTTGGTTTCATAGAAAAAGAAAAACACCAAAAACAATTGGCTGATAAACTATTAGTTAGACTATTGAAATGCCAGAATGAAGCTCAATGGAATGATATTGCATTCGTATTGAATTCAATCCCTTATAAAAATGAAAGTATTAATCAAGCCCTTGAAGGTGGTTACACTTTAGTCCTGGCAAGACAATGACAATAGATTTTGTTCTCCATATACTTATATATTAATGCATACATCAATATAATTTTATATCACCTCCGCACATGCAAAAAAAAAAAAAAGTAGTGAATTCATATTCCTTATATATTAAGTGAAGATTTGTATACTTTCAAACTCAATTGCTTGACATATAGGAGTTTTAAGGATGATATCACATCAGCTCCAAAACTATATTACCCAATTCCTGGAAGCAACAGGATTGCCTGATTCACAATTGAAAATCTTGTTATGTACATTGCTATCATTTCCATTTAGCGTTATCTTCAAAAGGTTACCAGATCAAAATTATGCTTTGAAAAATGCATACAATATCTCAGTTTCGGCATTTTATATATTCGGTATATTGGAATTGTATTCTGGATTGCAGACTTTGCTTTTTTCATCATTGGGATGTTACTTTATTACCAGATATGTAAGAACATCATCAATGCCGTGGATCAATTTCCTTTTCTTAATGACCCATTTAGCTTATAGTCATTTCCATGAGCAATTCTTTCAAACATATGATTCTACAAAGATTGATATAACAGGTGCTCAGATGGTGTTGGTAATGAAGTTGTCTGCTTTTGGCTGGAATGTTTACGATGCAAAGCAATCTAAAGAAACGTTAACCTCATTCACCAAAGATCGTATTGTTAAAAAGCATCCAAACTTACTCTCTTACTTTGGCTACGTTTTCTTTTACGCTTCGTTATTAACAGGGCCCGCTTTTGATTTTGCTGATTATGATAAGTTTATTCATTCTACATTATTTGACGATGTACCTGATTCCAAACGTCCAGGAAAGAGAAGAAAGCGTAGGATCCCAAGAAGTGGTATTCCTGCTCTTAAGAAAACTCTACAAGGAGCTTTTTGGGCAGTAGCTTTACTTGTTTTGTCCAAATATGTGAGTCTTGAGTACGTATTAGGCGGTAAATTTGTTAAAGAACATGGATTCATATACCGTATCTTTTATTTGTGGGTTTTAGGATTTTATCATAGGTTACCATACTATACAATTTGGTTAATTGCAGAAGGTTCATGTATTCAATGTGGTATAGGTTATAATGGATACGATTCTGAGACTGATTCATTCAAATGGGACCGTGTACAAAATATTGATCCATATAAATTTGAAACTGGCCAAAACTGTCATGTGTGTTTAGAATCGTGGAATATGAACACCAATAAATGGTTAAAACATTATGTTCATAGGAGAATTGCGAAGAAAGGTAAGAAACCTGGCTTTAAGAGTACTCTTTTTACTTTTTTAACAAGTGCATTCTGGCATGGAACTAGACCTGGATATTATTTAACCTTTGTAATGGGAGCATTCTTACAGACTATTGGTAAAATCTACCGTCATAATGTTCGTCCTATGTTCCTTCAGAAGGATGGCCTCACTCCAAAACCAACCAAGAAGATATACGACTCGGTATGCTACGTTTGTACCCAATTGGCATTCGGCTTTATTGTTCAGCCCTTTATGATCTTGGATTTTAAGCAATCGCTTTACTGCTGGCTGACCGTCAATTTTTATGTCCAGATTGCGACCTTCTTAACTATATTTGCATTTAAGGGCCCTTACAGCAAATCCCTCATTGCTTGGTGTAGGTCTCATCACGACTCATTCGAGAAGAATGATGTTGTTGCTCGTCCTGAGCATAAGCTATCTGAAGAAGAGACAGCTAAAGCCAGAGATGCGGTAAATACGATTTTAGGAAAGAGAGACGAAAGATTTAGAAGCCCTAATCTAGGAGTACCTCCTATTGATATATTGGAATCCATTGACCAAGAGGATATAGATGAAGATTTGAAAGAATTAGGTGACGTATGGACTTCGTTCAGAGGACGTATTTCACATCTTAAAGATGATGATTTCGATGGCTTGAAAGATGCGTACAACAATTTCACTGACGAAATTGAGGAAATTTTTCACGTCAAAAAAGAAGATTTGTTAGCCAAAAAGCAAAGCTGATGATTTAAAGTCAGAGATAGGCTTTATCTAGGCTATGATATGTAAATTACATTGTCTCGCTAGCTGGATTTTGTGTAATTCTCGATATGAAATTTGGTTCCTATATTTCACATGGATTAGTACTACTAAGTTAGAACTATTCTGACTTGGATATTCATATATAGGATACTTAGGATCTGTATATACTCTAAGAATACTACATAAAAATGTTATTAAGTACTGGTCGAATTAATGTTCTTCGAAAATCAAGTAATTGGTTTCGGTGTTCCCTTTCTACTAATGGTGGTGCAAGATCACCAACAGGAATTGTATTCATGAATATGGGAGGCCCCTCGAGAACTAAGGACACATATGACTTCTTGTTAAGATTGTTTTCTGATCAGGATTTGATTCCGTTAGGATTTTTTCAGAACACTTTGGCTAAATTTATTGCAAGACGTCGGACGCCATCCATTGAAAAGAATTATGATGATATCGGTGGTGGATCACCAATTAGATATTGGTCTGAATATCAATGCAAGAAAGTATGTGAGATCTTAGATAAGACAAATCCGGAAACAGCTCCACACAAGCCATACGTGGCATTCCGTTATGCTAATCCATTAACTGAGCATACGTTAAAGCAAATGATGGATGATGGTATTAAGCGGGCAGTTGCTTTCTCCCAGTATCCACAATTTTCGTATTCCACTTCAGGATCCTCTATGAATGAATTATACAGAAAGACTTTAGAACTTGATAGCAAACGGTCCATTAATTGGTCTTTTATTGACAGGTGGCCAAAGCAAAAAGGTTTCATTAATGCGTTCAGTAAGCATATAAACGACAAATTGCAAGAATTTCCAGAACAAGATAGGGATAAGGTTATTGTTATGTTCTCGGCCCATTCTTTGCCTATGGAAATTGTTAACAGAGGAGACTCTTATCCAGCCGAAGTTGCAAGCACTGTTTATGCAATCATGGAGAATCTTAAATTCAAGAACCCATATCGTTTAGTATGGCAATCCCAAGTAGGTCCAAAACCATGGTTAGGAGGACAAACTGCTAAAATTGTTGAAAAATTAGAGAAGAATAAGGATGTCAAAGGAATTGTATTGGTCCCTGTTGCGTTTACCTCTGATCATATTGAAACATTGCACGAATTAGATATTGAATTGAAAGAGGAGTGTACAAATCCGGAAAAGGTCAAAAGGGCTGAATCCTTGAATGGAAATGAAGAATTCATTGAAGGATTAGCTGATTTAGTACAGGACCATTTAAAGTCAGGTCAATTATATTCGAACCAATTAGAATTAGATTGTATATTAGGAGGTGAAAAGGCTACTGGTACGTTCAAGCACCCAAGCGAATTATTCGGAGATCATTCTAAGTCCCAATGACTTGTTTCTTATAAATAGATATCAAATATATAATATGCATTGAATTGGTACACTAGTCTGAAAAATCTTCCTCGTCAGGATCGAACAAGTCTAAATCTAGAGCACCCTGGGTTTCCTGTTTTCTTGATTCACCTGTGCGTTCTCCAAAAGATCCCCTACGTTCAGTAGGTGGTGAATTCGTTATACTTTCAACTTTATTGTCAACTTTATTGTCAACTTTATTGTCAACTTTATTGTCTTCAACTTTCCTTATTGCTTCTTCCTTCACTTCGAATGCGTCCTCTCCTAACTCTGCTTTGATAATATCGTCTACTCTTATCGAGCTCATCGCTAGCATGCCCCTACGTAAGGCATCCTCTGCAGGCCATACGTAATTATTAGGATGAATTTGAAAGGGTAAGTTGGTAACTGTAGGTGGTGCTTTTGTAAATTTAGAAAGCTTCAGAGCATATTTCAAAACCTCATTTACATCCACTTTACTATCATTCGGACTTGGAAATGCTGAAGCCTTATTCTTATTTGCAGGTAATCGAGGTAACTTTTTTAGTTCATTTCGATATGTTATTAACTCTTTTAATATAATTTTCGAGGTATTATCTAAATGAGCTTGCTCATCTTTAAGACCCTTAATATTTATACCCAAATCTCGATGCTTCTTTAATTCCCCTATCTCAGAGCATATTATATCATTCAATTCGATCAACTTGCCGATCAACAGAGCTAATTCGTCTTCTTTAAAAGATGAAACTTTAAAGGATAGATTAGTTAAATTTTGTTCGAATTCGTTTACTTTTTCGACTATAGACAACTTCTCAAATGCTTCCCTATCTTCTTTCGTTATTATTTGATTAGATGATTCTGGTCCGGCTGATATTCCTTTTGTAGGATTTAACGAAGAGGAAACATAGGCACTTGGTGTAGATGGAATAGAACTATATGCATTGGGGCTACCAGTAGCAACACCATGAGATGCCAATTGGTTTAATCTTTGTGTAGAGCCCACGCGAGATACTGGGACTGATAGGAACGATGAATCGTTCTTCTTATGAGGATTCATAACTTGGACTATAATAAACTAAGTGATTAAGCGTAGATTTGTAGTACGATATATGAAATGTTTTGGTTCCATAGTGTCACAAAATTGATATCGAATATGTCTTTACGTTAACAACAAAATATAAGGATGGTTAAGAGGAAGCCAAACGTTTTTGGTAGCTCTTCTGATTCAGATTCCGATTCTGGATACCATAAGGTTGTAAATACCAAGCGCAAGAAGAAGCCACCTGTATTTGATACCATAAAAAATAATGATATTGACAAGCATGGGTGTGAAAATGAACATGATAAAGAAGAGGATTATATGAAGTATTCAACGGAGAATTTGCTCAATGAAGATAAAGAAGGAAAAGATTATTCCAATCCAAAGAGGTTTGAAGGAATGAAATATGATGAAGTTCAACAGATCAAACGAGAAGAAGCTTTGAGCCAGTCTTTATTCACTAATAAACATGCAAATAAATCTGTTGGTCTTAGCATCATGGAAAAGATGGGATTCAAGGTTGGAGATTCGTTGGGTAATGCTGGAAAAGATGAGAAAATAATAACAACCCCTATAGACGTACTGATCAAAACAAATAGATTAGGGATAGGAGCATCGAATTCCAAACAGAATAGTCAATCGAGACCACAAACCGAGGTAGACGTCCTGGAGTATAGGGACCGTATTCAGAAATCGAAAACCAGCAGTAAAAATGAATTCATGATAAATAAGGCCATGAAAATTTGTTTCGAACTAAGTGGAGATTCGGAAGAATATTATAATGATAAAGAAATTTTCAAACCTCAAGAAGTGAATATACTATGGAGACCCTACGTGATAGATATGATAGAGAAAGATCTGGCTAATAGGTTCAACCGAAAAGTTATAAGAATAGATCAAAACACAGAACCTGAGTCCCGAATTTCCACGAATAGAGAAAAACCTGATAAGGACTATGAGCTATATTTACTATCCGAACCCTTGGATAAATTAGAGAGACTTCTAAACTACATGAGGCATAGTCATAATTATTGCTTTTATTGCGGATGTTCATTTAAGGATCAGGAAGATTTGATTGAAGGTTGTCCAGGTATACACGAAGAAGATCATTTCGATCTATGATATTATTATTATTTAGATGCACATATATATATTAGGCTAAAATGCTGCAGAATCGAGTAATTCATCTCTGTGTAGTTTGCCACTAATATATATTTCATTGAGTTTATCAGTAGGAATTGGCTCACTCTCCTCTAGTATATTCAAACGAATTTTACGCACTTGTTCCTTGGTTAGCTTATCGAATCTTATATTGTGTTCAGTAAATGAGCCATAATGCAAAGGAGCAGGTGACGCTTTGCTATATGATTTTGAATCATTTGGCATAAAATTGATCTTAGACAGTTCTGCATCATCACTTTTACCCCAATTTACTATTATTCTGCAATCGTTAGCTATACTTCCATGCATAAATAATAAAGCGGATTCAGCAGACGATCGGAGAAAGTATTTTATAATGCCAGTATTAAAATCCGACGATAATTTACAATACACAATATCTCCAAACGCTATGAAATATGAACTTAGTTCGTCTTCACTGAATTTAGATGACAACCCCTTTATTATAATAGTGGTATTGTTTGGATCTGTGTGTGCATTCAATGACGGTTGTGGTTGCGCTATATGGACATTGGAAGCAACTGGAGTTTCAGATTTCGAAAATGTGTCCTGTCCCGCCGCGTTGTTGCTGCTACCAGCAGCCATTCCAACCCTTATTGGTCGACTCCCAGCAATAGTCCCATTCATTTCATTTAAAGCTTTTTGCTGCGTGAAGCTAGTGCTGAATCTAACAAACCCAAATCCCTTGGATAGTTTAGTAACTGGGTCAAACATGATCTTTGCTTGTTTGACTTGGTTAGGGTAAACTTTATTGAAGCATTCAAATAGCATGGGTTCTGTGACATCTGATCCCAAGTCCCCGACAAAAATCGAGTAATCATTATGTGCTTTACCTATTGGTTTGAAGTTGCTTTCTTGGGGAACCGTAGATCCAGAACCACTCGCCCAGTTCAATTTAAATACTTTTGTAGATCCTGGTATCTGTAAACCATTCTTCAAGACTGCAGTTGAAACCGCCTTTTGGTTCGCAAACGAAACAAAGCAGTAGCCAGCGTTAGCTTTGGAATTCGTAGCATCAAGACCAAACTTATCTCTAATTATTTTAACTGCCACTGGGGTCTCTCCGAAGGCCGACCATATTTTTTTTATTGCATTTTCATCCCACGATGGATCTAAGTCACCCATCCATAGTTGGTTTTGATTCTCTGCAGAGTGACTACCTTGATCATACGAATTTTGATAGTTATTTCTAGGTGTATAATTTGCTTGATAATTGCTACTTCTATTGTAGGGCTTTCTTTGTTGTACTTGTGATTGATATTGATTGGTGTTATATTTATTGTAATTACCGTATCCACCACTGCTATAGCGGTTTCCACTACTGTTGTTATATCGATAATCACGCTGGGATTGGTATGACGAGCCTCCACCGCGTGATCTATACCCGCCTCCTGAATTGTAGTGTGACATAGTTATCTCGTTGTATCGATGGTAAGTAATGTTTTCTAGTTTATCACATAGATTTTCTTTTGGAGTGCTCCTTACTATGTGCAGGACGTTTTCGTCTCACACAATTATGCAGCTTATCATTTTGTCTATTACTGATGAAGTATTTTCGATTCATAAATTTGCTGTAGTTGGGGTTGACGTTTTGAAATCCACTCATGTTTTATGCATTCATCAATATTATATCTTTTAATGGGATCAATTTCCACTAACTTTCGAATGAAATCTTTTGCAGCGGGACTCACGTTTTGCCATTGGTGTCGTCCAAAATTAAGTTGTCCTAATTTAGCACTCCTGACCATTCCAACTTCGTCGCCATCACTGTAAAAGGGTGATATACCGGATAACATGATATGAATCATAATACCTAGTGACCAAGTATCACATTTATAATCGTAACCCTCACCTTTAAACCACGTTTTGGTGAAGGCTTGTATATTATTATGTTCATTTAGCCTTTTATCGAGAGTAAATATCTCAGGTGCACTGTATTCCACGGTACCGACTATGGTTTTTGTTCGTTGATTCAATCGTTGTAACGATTTCGCAATACCGAAGTCACAAAGTATAATTTTTGTGCACGGTATCGGTGCTTTAAGCAAAACATTGTCCAATTTCAAATCTCTATGAATTACTTGGAGCTGATTATGTAAATAGTCAAGCGCTTGCAAAAGTTGGAATACTATAAGAATCACCTCGTTCTCGGGTATAGCCTTAAGGCAATTTCCCTTAATAAGATACGAAAATAAGTCTCCTCCACAAATTAAGTCTTCAAAAATGTAGATATGTTCGTCTAGTAAAAGGGTATCATGGACCTTAATAATATTAGGCTATATTTATTAGTTTTCAGTTGACAATTAAATGTTTCAATAAAGTATTATGGTACACATACGTGGTTTATTTTCAGTAAAATCTCAGCTTCATTTTTAAACCGCTCCTGGCGTAATGACGGATTATTCGAGTTACTCAATCCCTTTATTACCTTGACTGCAAAATTTTTCTTCTCATCCTTATACTTCGCAACGTAAACTGATCCAAAAGAGCCTGAACCCAACATCCTGTTGCTTATGGTCCATTCCTTGATTCTACTCTGTCTCGTTGGTATTTGCAGCCATTGGGCACATTCAAATTCCCGAAACCTAAATACAGCTACACATCTCACTTCTATGATATCCCCATCGTAGAGAAGAGCCGTCTGATTCCGCCCTATTGTCTGTCCATTTATCAACATCCCATTGAGCGATACATCACGTAAGTAGACCAATGGGACGCTATCCGTATCAAACTGAATTCCCCAAACCATAAAATGCACCAGTGATACTGTGGAGTGTTGGAAAACCATTTTGCATGCCTTCTCTGCTCTTCCTGCTGTAAGTATTTCCCCAGTACGTATAGCTATCATGCATCTATCTTCTTCAATATTTTCATTTCGTGTGCTCTGAATTGAATCTTTTGCCAGCTCTATTTGACTTACTATTTCTTTCGTAGTATTCATGAACGCATTCACCTCTATATTTATTGACTTTCCTTCGTATCTTGGTACAACATATGAAGTGCTTTCTGGCGCCAGCCCCCCACAGAATATTATATTCTTGTTATCTTCCTTAAAGGAATTCCGTATTTCTTCCTGTATACTTACTAGTTCTAATGCTCCTGCTATATCTTCCATATCTGCAGTAATTCCGCCGTGTTCCTCTCTATTTTGACTATTCCAAGAAGACGTTTAGTTGTATTTGCTAGCGGTTAAACTGGCCTTTTGGCAGCCAAAAGAAAACTAAATGTCGTATATACAAAAATGTCGTGTTTTCTAATGTCGCGTAAAATTAGTATGTCGTGTGTTTATCAATGTAATCGTCATAAATTTCACTTCTGATTGGTATAAACTAGCTTAACAGATATCTAGCTAAGTATACAAGCATCGTTCTGTTGATCATTCTATATATTGAAGATGTTTTCGAGAATCGTGAAAAACAATGGATCCTTAATGTCCAAGAGATTCCAGTCTCAAGCTAGCACTAGTGCTTCCGCCAAGTCTGCTTTCAATAACAAATATAACTTTAATATAAACCCACCTCCAGTGCACACATACTGGACGATGCGTAATAGTTCAGTTCTCCTTGCTTTCATTCCAGTATACTTGCTTGTTGGATACGCTATCAAGTACACATCTTCAGGACTTAGTGGCTACGAAGGATTGTATGCATTTGCCGATTCAGAAAAGTCACCTATGAAGGAGCTCAAATTCGGTGAAGCTCAAGCATCAAAGAATTAAGCAATACGATCGCATATTACTAGCATATCCACCTGGATATGTCTACATGTTCAGACGTGGAGTTGCTGGACATTGGTGGTTGGGCATAGCACGTCTCACCTACCATAACACCATTTTTTCAGGATTTCGAGGTTTACTACATTTAAGTCTTGATATTTCCGTTAATAGGACTCCCAATACACGATAGATAATTCTTCTGCTTGTAGTCACCGTTCCATAGATTAAATATCAGAGTTAATAGCTTCAAAATTATGTGATTATGTAAGCCCTTATGTAATTTGTAATCCTGTTCGATTTTTTCTCGTTCGTTTCATTGGTTCATCAACAAAGAATCATTAAATAGTTCTACTTAGTATAACAACTTTATTGCAAATCAGGCAAATAAGACTACGAAAATGCTCTCTAGAATCGGTTTGAATGCCTCCAGGTGCATTTCTCGCAGAAGCGTCAGATGCTTGACTACACAGAATACAATTACTGACCACACTACTGGTAGAGTTATCAAGTTGACTGACCCTAGTCGTCCAGAAATGGCAGATTACGATAATGTTAAACCAGTTTTAGCACAAGACAAGGACCCATACGTCAAGTATGATGACCCACAAAATAGAAGAAACATCAATGACCCATTAAATATTGAAGAAGATTACTATGATATTTGGTCTCCAGACTATTTCCAATTTGTATCCGACAAGACTGCCCTCAAGCATAATGGTATATTTTTCTCACTCATCATTGGGTTTGGTACTGCTATATGGTACTTTGAATTGAATCCTGCTAAGCCAGCCATGCCAAGGTCATATCCATTTGGTGGTTTGGCAAAGGATTTGGGTTCGGGTAGTAAAGAAGATGAATATTTCTATAGGGTTAAGCCAGATACCACAGCTGAACAAGAGCTTGGATTCTTGGCCAATGACAACCAAATCGAAAAAAACAAGAAAGCTTATGAACAAGCTAACGCTGATTTCCTTAGAGATTAGACTCTGTGAACCCTTTGTCCAGCGATTGAACTCGTTTCTCCTTCGTTGTACCCATCAACCTTGATGTAATTACACCTATTCATCCTTCGTATCTACATCGACGTATGTTCTGTTACATTAGTACTCATTGGGTGTTTCTCAGCTTATGGTTATCATTATTAGTTTACCGCATAATCCATCAATTACGTATATTAATCATCATACTTATCTATGATTACCTTATATATTTGATACATTTGAATCATACATTGTTAAGTATTTTGTAATCTTGTAGGCGTTATCGTAGCTTAAGTACTAGAGACTTCTAATAATTCCAAATTGTCACGTGATATAAAATAAAATATAATCTAACGTAAATTCACCATAAACATATCTGAATTTGAACAGATTTGATTAAATTCATCATTATATTATAAGGTATCTTTCATATTAAAGGATAGCCAATATTTTCTCTCGTACAATTATCGTGTACTGCTTTGTCTAATTAAAAATGGCAAGAGGCGGAAGTCGTCGAAGAAATACTTCAAGTATTTCTACCAAAAAAATAGAGCCTTCTAAGGAACTGACAAAAGCTCCTGAAGGGCCTCAGAAAAGAAAACCAAAGACGGAAATACCCAGCAGTAATGGAAATGGTGCTATTACGAAGGAAGTTAAGAAACGGAAATTAGATAACGAACTTAATGAATCACAAGAGCATTTGGCACAGTTAATAACTGACTTCAATTTATCCGTAAACGAGTTATTTCAACTTAAAGAGTATAAAACAATAGCATATTGGAACCCAGATGACTTTTCCCGTGCTTCATCTACATCGCAGGTTCCAGAAATATTTGATTTATTTTCCAAGGAACCTGAATATCAGATATCCTGGGGTGCTGACTCTAAGGAGCAAGATTTAAGTAATATTCCGTTGAGACTTCAAAAGAAGATCATAAACGAAAGAGAGCAGAAACTTTTGGAGAAGTTCCCATTTAAGGAGAAGGTATTGAAAAGAAGTAGAGATCTTGAAACTGAATTGTTGCAGAACATTAAACAATCGAAGAAGCCCTTGGAGAAGAGTCATATAAAACCGTCGCCACCTGTTAAGCCTTCTAAAACATCAAAAGGTAATCAAAAGATTATTAAGAAAAAGCGAGCTGTCAAACAAGAAGAAGAACACGCTCAAGAGAATCACCAAGATGAAGAATATGAAAGCGATATGCATGAAAGGTCGCATTATAAATTTAAGACTGTAAAATATTCGATTCCACCCCCAATAGTAACTCATCCTTCGCATATACCTTCTTGGGTCCCTGATCCAAATCATACAGAATCATCATTAAATTCTAAGGATAGCGAAATCATTGATTATCATCCCGATCCAATACAGTTTGTATCAAATTCAAAAACAACATACACTACACCAGATATTCAGGCTAAAATTCAAAACTTCCTTGCAAGTTATAAATCGGCAATAATCGATGAAGCCAACACTGGCGATTTCAATAATACACCTCAGGAATACGAGAAAATCATGACCCAACAAGAACAGTTTATAAAAAAGTTATATGAAAAAACATCCATCGAAAAACGTCTTGAACTAAATGGAGAGAAAATAGAAAGAAGGAAAACAGTCCTACCACATAGCTCGAATACAAAACAAGTTGTCGATCCATTTAGATCGCATGGGGCTATAATACCGAAGACACAAGGTGTTACTATCCATTCTACCCATCATGACTATTTCTTGAGTCATGGTATGGCCTTTTCAAGGTTACATCAGCAGATGCGTAGGCAACATCAATTAAGAACTAAAAAGATTGCACAAATGATAGAGCAGCATTTTAAGAAGAAGAAAGGTGAGAAGGAAAGACTAGCTAAAGAAAAAGAACAGAATTTAAAAAGAATTAGTAAAATGGCAGTCCAGGCTGTTAAGAAAAGATGGATACAAGCTAGTAAAGTTTATCGTTTCTTACAATTGCAAAAAGAAGAAGAATTAAAAAAAATAAAGGGAAGAGAACACTTGAGTCAAATGTTAGAGCATTCGACACAGTTATTAGAAGCGCAATTCAATAAGTCATCGAGAGATATCAGTGAAATAGATACCGAAAATGAAAATGAAAATGTCTCTGAAGCAGATGATCGCTTAAGTTCCAGCTCAGATGAAGATTCCAATTCCTTCCAAAAAGCCCGAGATGATCTGAACGTAAATGTGGATGAGAATGATATGCAGTTAACTGTTGATGAGCTTAGAGCGAAATACGCAGATATTGATCAGTCTATTGAACCATCGTCAAAAACTATCTCATCTGATTCATCCAATTATGAATCAGATAGCGATAATGAGGATATCGATGCTAATAAGGGCCTCGTTGCATTGTACGGTAACAGCCCTGTTTCTGTAGAGCCTGTTTCAAATTTGGCTGCTACAGAATACACAGATGAACAAAAGGCTTTGATTGAAAAGTTTTCTAAAGAAGATGAAGGAATCAGCTCAGAGTCTGCATCGGAGGATAGCTTGAATGATGGTTCAAGTAGCGAAAGTGACGACGACAGCGAAGTTGATGGATCTAAACAGATGCAAGTAGAAACTACAAAACCGACTGGCTTAGCTGCGTTACTTGGTAATGGGCCTACGGAAGATGAAGAGGATTCCAATGATGATGTAAGTGCAGAGAGTGATGGAAACGTTTCAGACGATGAAAATATGTCAACGACTGATGAGGAAGATGAACCGAAAACACCAAAATCTTCTGAAGATCCGAAGATGGATGAGAAGGACAATGAGCTGGACGTTCTTGAAGAAGAGATCAATGGCTCAAAAGTAAGGGATGTTCCGCTTCCACCATTATTAAGAGGCACGTTAAGACCATATCAGAAGCAAGGTTTAAATTGGCTAGCAAGTTTATATAATAATGGTACAAATGGTATTTTAGCTGATGAAATGGGTCTTGGTAAAACTATTCAAACTATATCATTGTTAGCATACTTAGCTGCAGAGCATCACATTTGGGGTCCTCATTTAATTGTTGTTCCTACGTCAGTTATGCTTAACTGGGAAATGGAATTTAAGAAGTTCGCTCCTGGATTTAAAGTTTTGACATATTACGGATCTCCACAGCAAAGAGCTCAAAAAAGAAAAGGGTGGAATAAACCAAATGCCTTTCATGTATGTATTACCTCATATCAATTGGTTGTTCATGATCACCAGTCTTTTAAACGAAGAAGATGGAGATATATGATTTTGGATGAAGCACATAATATCAAAAACTTTAGGTCCGCACGTTGGAGAGCTCTATTGAATTTCAATACTGAAAATAGATTATTATTGACTGGTACACCGTTACAGAACAATCTAATGGAATTGTGGTCTTTATTATATTTCTTAATGCCATCGTCCAAAGTCAATCAAGCTATGCCTGATGGATTTGCAAATTT